CCCCCCCCCAAAAGAAAAAAGGAAAATCATTGTGCTGGCACTCTGGCAAAGTTTGGCGGGCAGCTCTTTTCCGCCTTAGCAAAAGGAGGCTCGGAGGTAGTGGGGGTTTAAACGGGGGGATGACGTTGCTATATCATTGAAGTTGATTGAACTGACCTGCCCCAGGTAATTTGGAACTATCTGATTCTGTTAGTTAATGTGGTTGCATGTAGATTCGAACTCAGGTCTGCATCTGAACAGTTCATGGCTGCACCGTCTGAGCTACGGCCTGCTGGTCAATTGTCACATATTTTCACGAGTAAGGATTCACACTGACAGGCTGTCAGTGACAACCTGTCAGTGTGACTTTGTGACAGTGTGTTTGGCGGGGTTTGCTGCAGTGTGTCGATTCACTGACAAGATGTCACACGCTCTTAAGTAAGGATGTGCACTGACAGGTTGTCAGTGTGACAGTGCAGTGGGTCGATGCATGGACAGGATGTCGCACACTTTCTTAAGTAAGGATGTGCACTACTGACAGGTTGTCAGTGTGACAGTGCAGTGGGTCGATGCACGGACAGGATTTCACACACTTTCTTAATTAAGGATGTGCACTACTGACAGCTTGTCAGTGTCATTGTAAAACCAGGAAACGGGCCTGGCGTCCCTTACAAAAAGTAGGCGAGCGATCCTGTTTCAGTAGCGGTGGTTTAAACCACCAGTACTTCCTAAAGTCGTGCCGGTTAACAACCTGCGACAATTTTAGGAAATGTACCGGCCACTATAGGAGCGCCCAAATTCATCCGACTAGAAACGTTTCTACTCTTATTTTTTTCCATGGCCGCTAGCCGGGGAAAGGTACTGGTGGTTTAAGGAAGGAATGCGTCGAGTGTGTTTCTGATGTGGACCCGTTTTCCAGTTTATGGGCATATTCACACTAAGACTGTTTTGCTTTTTTCTTGACGTAATTGTGGTCAGGTACATCCAGCGTCTGCCAGAAATGTGGTCAGATGACCGTCTTCCCCTGAACATAACGCACATGCGTTGTATTCAAGATTTCAAAAAATTTGAAAACTCGAATAGAACACGAATGCGTTGTATTCGAAAATCAGGGCTGTTCGAATAGAATGGACAATGCGTTTGTATTCGAATACAAAGCAACCTATGTACGCGCGGTATTCGTTTACAACACACGTGCGTTATGTTCGGGGGAAGAAGACAGTGTGAGTAGACCTGTGTTGACAAAGCAGTTACCTTTTGTTTTTTTTTTGGGTAGAATTATAATATTATATTTGTCCCTTGCAGATCGGCACGTAGTCTGTCTCCGGATTCTTTTTCACAGAATTTTTCGTCAAACCGTGTGAGCATGAAACATGACCAAATTCGGTGTACTTAAAATTTTGCTTGCTGTCTCGGAAAAAAAAAATATATATATCAAGTTTTGTCTCTGTGTTCAATTTACTTGTTTCTGGTGTCGTTTATGGGAGTTTGCACATTTACATGATTTTGAAATTTCAATCTTTTTTTTTTTTTGGTAATCATTGTTTTGATTGCCCTGCAGTTAGTGGAACTCAAGAATGGGGAGACGTATAACGGCCATCTTGTGAATTGCGACTCTTGGATGAATATTCATCTTCAGGAAGTTATCTGCACGTCAAAGGTAAATTCTCTCCCTCTGTGTGTGTGTGTGTGTGTGTGTGTGTGTGTGTGTGTGTGTGTGTGTGTGCGCTATGCACGGCTTAGGGTCCTGGCAGTTTAAAGATGCTAGTAGTGGATGGCCTTTTGGAGTTCATTGGTTTGTTGGCTTTGCTATCACCAAAAGCTCTGGTTGAAGTCTCTCCTTAGGAACCTTATATGACTTGTATGTCAGACGGAGTATATGCCCTGCAGGTGCTATGTTCGTGCTCGGAATGCATGATCCTGATCATACTAACGTCCACGTTCGTGCTTTCTTAATTTGAACGTATCACGAGTGGTACTGGCACTTAGTACATGCCTTTATACTCGTGACTCTGCCTCGGTTAAGAAGGATGTGCCAATTCGGGCACAGGGAGCTGTCCTGTTGTCTGGAGGCCGAGCCCCATCGGATTCTGTTACTTTTGCATTGAGCCTCACTGCTTGTCACCTTGAGCACACACACACACACAATGAGAGGTCACACGAAGTCCACACTGGAGACCAGAGATGCAAAGTCCAGATAAGTGCAGCTTGGAATTTTCAACAAATTATCATATTAAGCAGTTACAGAGTTCCAGTCGCCAGCGCTCATCATCAGCGCAGAGTTCAGCAACCCAATTCCAGCAATCCTCATCCAAGGT